GGAATAACCCCCAAAACCCCCCCCCCCCCCGGGGGAGCGATGGGAGGGCAGATAACCGAGTCCCAGAAATCACACCGGTACCGGGAAGGCAGCGCCCCCCGCTCCCTCCGTAAGGCCTTGGGGTGGGAAGGGGGGGGCTCGCAGGGTTTTGGGGGACCGCAGCCCTCCCCGGCCCCGTCCCGGGGGCTCCGGGCATCCCCCCTCCCCGTCCGGGGCCGGTTCCCCCTTCCCGGGGCGAGGGAAGGGTCTCCCCGATCCCGGTCGCTGGGGGTGGGAGCTGGGGGGGCCGGGAGCACCCCACCGTGAGCTGTGGTGGGGCCGAACCGCGATCCTCCTCCGGTGAAGCCTCCAGTGCCCGCCCCCCCTCCTCTTTCGCAGAAACCGCCTTTTTCAGTTAACAACGGCTGTGATTTGGTTTTACCCCCTTTGCAGCATGAACCCCTCGGCCCCAGGGTGTGGGGAAAGATGGGGCTCGTTAATTGATGCTGTGGGGTATGATCCAGGGCTGGGGGTGGCTACAGGCTGCCGAGTTTGGGGGGGACATTTTCTGGTATTTAATTGTGCTTAAATAAGGCCCAGGAGATGAAGCAGCGCCCACTGGGTGGGGAAAGGGAAAGCTTACCCCATGGCATTGCACAATCCAAAGTTCAATTTGAAGAGGAAGTCAGGTAGGTAATCAAAGTCAGACTTTCAGCATCATTTATACTAGAGATAACGAGAAATTTGAAGGCCAAGTTTGAACACCCCAAGCTCTCTGTAATTTTAGCTGGAGTTTTGATGGCAGGCAGTCAAATATCAGGACAGCCCAAGTCTGTGGAGTGCTGTGGAGGTGGGTACCATGGCTCTGGAGGTGTCTGGAGGTGTGTACCATGGCTCTGGAGGTGTGTACCATGGCTCTGGGTGTCCCCAGTGACAGCTCAGAGAGGGAAACAGGGACGTTCCACAGGAGAAAGGGAAGGAACGGCCGGGCTGGCTTTGAGGGGGAAAACCATTCCCTGGGGAGATGAGGACACTGCTGCGGTGGGGAGCGTGGGCCTCGGGCCACGGGCTGCCTCAGCTCCACCAAAAATGCTGTAAAACTGCCAGGAAACCCCCAGCACTCATGGAGAAGACAAAACCACGCATTTAGAAGATGCCAAAGCCCAACTAACGTTGCTCCTTTGGCACGTGTTTTTGTTATACCATAACGTACACTGGAATTTCCTATACAAGCCCATAATTGATGACTTTGGGAGAGCCTGGCTTTTCAACATCTCCGAATGATGACATCTTTGAGGAATACTGTTTTGGTCACGGGATCAGACTCACCCTTTTGTTGTCATAGAGAAGTACTGCTCATCCCTCCTTGGAGTAATAAAAACTGCTCCGTCTTGACAAAAGAGGGATTTATCCTTTGCGAGGGCTCGGCTGGCGGAGAGCAGCTCCACATCCCTCTGCCCCAGGTTCCTGGGTGCCCCCCGGCCGCCCCACGGGCACAGGGGGCGATTCCAGGAGGGGTCTCCTCTTGGCAGAGGGGAGGCAGCAGCAGTTTCTCTCCCGTTGTCTCAGCTTTGCCACCAGAAATGCCTGGGAGACAACACAGCATCAACCCAGGCCGGGTACAATTAGAGAAATGCGGTGCCAAATAAGTGAAGACTAGTCCAAGTCAAATCCATCATCGTTAAAATCCGTGTTTCATCTTTAGCTTTCTATTTCTTGTCTTGAATGCTTGATTTTTCCCTCTTTGAGGAAGACGCGGGGTTGGGTTCTGCATAAAGGTGGGTAAATAATATTCATGGGGTGCAGATTTCAAAGGGCGTCTTTCGCTCAGACACCAAACGGGGCTCTCATTATTGTTGCCAAATGTCTCTGTCGCGTTATTATTCAGCAAGTCAGGAGAAAAGTGCTTGATTTCTCCATCTTTAACCTCCTGCAAAGAGCCAGCATCTCCGCCGGCGGGTCAGAGCTGCTCTGCTCAGCTACAGGAAACGCCATCTCGGGGTGTTTTTTCTTCAACACTTGAAGAGCAAACCAGCACGGACTGAAAAACGCATCAGCGAGGAAGCGAGGCAGGAGGGTGCACACACATCTCCTCGGGGCAGATGGCTCTGCTTCTCCTTTCGGGTCCCGGGCAGAAAGGGAAGAGGAGGTGCCTGGGATGGTTCCTGCAGCCCAGGGCTGTGCTGGTGTGCTCTCCGGGGAATTAACCACGCTGAAAAAGCTTGTTTCACCCGGGAGAAGGGGCAAATGATGGGTTGAGCTGTCACAAATGACAGTGGACCCACTCCGACTGTGTAAAAGAGGACAAGTACTACATCCACACCTTCTCCTGCTGTGCTGCTGGCAGGGAGTGCGTTGCTCAGACTGAAGGTTCTGCTAAACCCCCTTTTTAAAACCAACATTTCACACTTTTTCACATGAAATGACTCTTTACAACATCCTGGTGTAATTCTCCTGTCGGCACATAAACCGCGCCGTGGGCGACCAGGTCTGGGCTTTCTGCTGCATCCTCCAAAACAAGTTATGCGGGTGATGAAGCTGATTAATGCTAGAAGCTTAATTATAATCTCAAATGTTATTCAGAGAAGGAAGTCCACCCCCTCACTCTCCTTTCCCTTTTGATCTTCCACCTTATTAATTTTTTATTCCACCTGGGATAGGTACACAGCCCCAGAGCAGCAGTAACTACATGGACAAGCTTTGCTCTCTCCCCTGGTCCCATGTATTCCCGCTGACTCACTCCTCCACTTCCCAAACACTCTTCTTTATCTGCCAGGTTAAGTTTTTTCTCTTGATGCAGCAGTGAGCTCTCCATAGGACACCAGATCGGTTTCTCACAACCCGATGAAGCGAGAACAATGCATAGGCATTTTAAGATAAATATAGTATCTTACTAAAAATATCACATCCTCTCAAACTTCACCACCCAGTCCTAATGGATCAAAACAGTATACTCCAGTTATTAACGTCCTGGTCAAAAACTGATTCCCCCCAAAAAACAGGTTTATTATAAAGGCTTGTTAATTAATTCAATTAAGAAATTATTTCACCAGGATTGAACTGCTTAGTTGCCCCCTAAACCTAAATGGGCTCTTTTGATACGTGTATTTGGGGGTTGACTGACCACTCAGAGGAGCAATTAATAATTAATTATAGGAGCCTTATCTTTCAAGTATAATGATTTTATATTTTTTTGAGGTATGGGTGGTTCCCAGGAACACATAGTATCAGCAAAGAAATGCACAAATCTACAATTAGTGAGGCAAAACCCCAGCACTTCATCTGATGATTTTACGAGGATTCCTCAGGGTTCTCTCCCCTCTCACTTTCACAAATACAGCAGCTGAAGGTCCAGAAGGGTAGCACAGCACCTTGGTACTCTCTGCTTTAGGGGAAAATGCATTTTCTAGCTATTTTCCCCTTGAGAAACTTTCTATTTTGAGCCATAAACTACATTCTAAAGGTACTTTAATTGAATGGGAAAATAAATGCCATTTTTATTCTTTTGTAGAGTTAGGAAACATCATGGAGATAAAACACATCTGTGGGAGTTCTCTCTCCCATTACTCTCCAAAAGAGCTGTCTGCACTGCAAAGCTAGCAGCAGAGACTTCCAGAAATCGCAGAATAATTAATTCTCAGCTTTATTCTGTCCATCAAGAGCAGCCTTTTTTGCTTTCAACTCTAAGAAGATTATGAACGCTGAGTTACTTTGGGCTATCTGAGCAAGGGTTTGGATTTCAAACGAGAACTGTCACGCTTGGAAGCTTAAAGCTCTGTTCGCTTGGCAATGCCTCACTCTATTTTCAGAATTATGTTGTCAGAACTGTTTACAATCCAAAGCAAATTACTGACTGGGAGAGGAGCAAATCCATCCAGCTCGCTGGAAAGTCGATTTCACACGCGTTGACATAAATGCCATTACTTTAGATTTATTCCATGCTGAACAAGATCATTCATTTGGCTCAAGGAAAGAAAGAAAGAAAGAAAAAAAAAAAAGTAGGAAGCAAGATCTTCCATCACCAGCAGCAGTGACAGACAGGGAGAATAAGGCTGCAAAGCTGCTCAAGGCTCTGGTATTCCATGCGAATAACTTGTGTTTTCCCTTTCCTGCAGGTGCTGTCATTTATCATCTTTATCTGCTACATCGCATCTCTAGCTTCCTCTTTCATGATGGCACCACTCCTAGAGTTTCTGCTGGCGCTCTTTCTTTTCTTTGCCTATACCTTCAAGCTTAACGAGAAGTTCAAAGGACTCTACTGGCCTTTGTCGGTAAGTGACACGTGGAGTATAAACCCACCCATTTAATTGCACGGTGTGACACCAGCAAAAGGGACTGCACAGGAGTTTAGGAAGACTGTTAACAACCACAGGCCCTCGTTAGAAACATCTCCACCTTGCCTCTCGTTCAGAAGGTCCCAAAGGTCTTTACTCTACACGATACTACATACTACAGCTTGCTTGGTGCCGACACAAAGCATGGTTTTACTAAAGCAGAGAATTTCTGCCCAATTCCTGGCAAATCGGATCTTCCTGCCTGGACCTTCAGAAGCAGGCAACATCAGCCCACGTAACTGTGACCACAGCTGGGCTCTCCTTAGTATGAAGACCCCGCATTTCCACCCTTACAACTGGGGAAACTGAGGCACGCTGTATAGCAGTGCATAGCACAGAATGATACAGGGTTGGAAGGGACCTCTGGAGATCATCTAGTCCAACCCTAATTGATATACTTAAATAAGATGTTTTAGAATTCCCAGGTGGGTGCTGCTGGGATGCAGAGCCATGCTCACACACAAACAATCCCACAGCTACAGTTTGAAGGGGAAAGCCCTGCAGCTCCTCCCAGGAGATGCTCATCCACGCAGGGAACCCCTGGCTCATCCTCCTCCCTGCACAGTGGCCACTGGATGTCTCTCTTGCTTCAAACATACTCTGCAAAGGCAGCATTTGTCTAGCAGTACGAGTACTTTAACAACAAAAAATATGCCAATCCATTTGGATTCTCTTTTGCTGTTTTTTTCACAGCAAGATTTGAATTAGAGCTCTCAATGTATAAAAATAACATTAGCAAGGTCACTGGTGGGTAACACAATAGCAGTGGCTATGGCAGCGCGTGGCTTTCAGATGGTCATCTCAGTTCTGTCCTTTTCCCAATTTCTACACCCATCTGATTCCCAAACTAAGACAGAAAAAAACGCACTTGTGTGTTTATTATGTAAAAATATTTCCCAAATGAATAATTCATCCCCTGCCCAGCAGCGGCTGCAGTCACACCCCAGCATCGGGCAGCTCCACAGCTACAACAAGAAGGAGGGTGGTTTTTAACGGTCATTTGGAGAAGAGTTTGTATGTTGGAATTCCATGACTAATCTGGGAATGCCACACTGCTTATTTTACAGGATTTCTTGCGGTGTGTCACTGCTGCCATTATTTACTTTGCCATTTCAATTGCTGCCGTCTCAAGATACGGCGACGGAGCATCTAAAGCAGGAGGGGTGAGTAGACGTGAGCTTCCCAGTAGGTATTCCAGGGAACTGCAGATGGAGAACTCCATTTCGACCTCATTGCAAGTAGCAGAAGTTTCTTCAGTTAACTGAGAACTAGATTTTTAATCAATTAACAGTTTTTTTCATCCTAACAGCTCTGCTCAATGTTATCTGTACTCCCTGGGGAATGCACCTATTCTGCTTTTTACTGTCACCACCTGTACAGGTTAAAAAACCTCTCTGTTCCTGCAAAGAACATCAATATCCTTAAATGGAGACAATAATAATAATAAAAGAAATCAAACCTGTAACTACTGAGGACACTCTAAATTAAATAATTTCAACCTCCTGCCTCTACTGCTTAATTTTACTTGGATGGGTTGAAACAAGAGCAGTGTCATTTTACCCTCCAGTAGAGGGACTGCCCAGGAGGGAGCCTTCCTCCTCAGCAATTTGTGTTCAGAAATAAAATACAGCCTCTCCATCTGCAACCTGACCCCGAGCATCAATAATGTACGCAACATAAATAAAATCTGCATCATAATTTTTAAAGACAGGGAAGAACAACACCCAGTAGCGTCAGCCAGCAACTCCCACCAAACCAGCCCAAGTCACACACCATTTCCAGACAAAGATCTTGTTTTACACTTTGTCACTCGGTTTGGGCACAGAACAAGGCAACGTAGCACTTACCTGAGCTCCTCAGATTGAGAACCAGCCCCTTCTTGTCGCTCTGCTGCTCATCTAGGCTTATTTGGTGGTGGTTTTTTTCACTGATGGATATGAACTGTCACTAAGAAGAGTATTATTTTGCCATTTCAGGTGTTTGGATTTATAGCCACGATAGTGTACGCCATTGATTTCTACATAACCTTCAATGAGCTGGTTACTTTTCTCAAGCAAGGCAGTCCAGATTCCCCTGAGGAGCGCAAGTCAGAAGGTGGGTAAAATTCCCTGTTTTGCTTAAACGAGCACGTAACACGAGATTTTCTTCTCCATTTCACCCTTCACAGGGGAGCAAGAGCCCTCATTCAGTAGTAACAGTTTTTATTCTTGGCTCCCTTGGTTTTGTTTGCCACAGCGACGCTGAGTTATGGAGCTACTTAGTCTTAAAATACAATAACTGGAATGTCAGTGATTCATTAAGATAACTAGCCAGCCAGGAATGTCAAGTTTCTCAGAATTTTGTGCCATCTAACTCTGAAAGGCCCCAAAACCAATCATAGAAATCACTATGCAGCACAGACTTTCTTCCTCCCATCATAAACATCTACCTTTTTTTTTTTGATAACTTAATTATTAACATCCATTAGCCCACAGTCTCTTATGTCCAATAGCACTTTTCTCTTTATCATCTCATTATCTTCTCTTTATCGTGACCTCTCATTCAGAGTCGAGCTTTGACCATCTGTGAGCAAATGGCCTTGAAATCCAAGGGCCACGCTGCATAAAATTAACCAGAATGTTATCAAATCTCTTTCTAGTACAGGAGGTTCAGCCTGCCTCAAACCAGACAGATCCACACAGACAAGGATAACGAGAGGGACCTGCTGTTGGGAATTCAAACCCATTTCAAGCCAGGGCAGGACCCAGGTTGCTGTTTTGCAGCACCCCACATAAATCAGGCATCAGGCCCCCACGAGACTCCTCACTGCACCCATACAGATGAGAAAGTTTGCTCCACGCTTCAAAACAAACAAAAAATCCCCCAAAACACCACCCCACACAAACCCCAAACCTACAAAACCCTCAAAAACAAACAGCCAAGACACGCGTACAGAATCCTAGAAGGCATGTAGTAACACTGACAGTCTTTTCTAGGTATTTTAGTGGACTGTTAAAATGTTTTGCAAGCTTTAGGTCAGAAACAGAGACAAGGACAAGAAGAAATAAGGAAGCAGATCACAGGAAACAGACTGTTAGGCTAAAAACTGTTTATGTCCACAAACTGAACTGACCTCAGAAGAAGATCAGGTGACAAGGGTACAAAATTAGGCTAAAAATTAGATCTATTTTCCCTGGAGATGGAGAGAGAAATATAAAAACTTACGAATACTCAGCCATGCAGTTTTGTGTGGATGATTTGACCGTTCCAGAAGGGCCCTGCCCCACAGAGCTGTTCTTCCTGCACCCAGCCCCCTGGTCCTGCTGTAGCTCTCGCCAGCCGAGGCCAGAAATCCCTTGCTTGCCCACAAGCTGCTTGGGCAAGCTGTACCCCTACTGGGATTTCTTAACATCTTACAGCTTCTGGCTCTGACACGCGTAACCGTGACCCGCAGGGAGCAGCAATATTCTAGCAGAGGAAGCAGCAGGCTTCCTCTTGGTGGTCACCCTAACGATAATACCTGCAAATTCTTTCATCTGAGCCATTATCCACCTTGTAGTGGTCCAAGAGCAGGTCTCAGCAGCCTTGCTCAAGTCCTTTGGAATGCCATTTAAAGCTCCATCCCATCAGTAAGAGCCATCCTTTTACAAGCCTTTTCCTGAATATCCCTGGAAGCAGACCCCGGCTGAAGAGCAGCGTTACCTCTCCCAGCAAGAGCTAAAACCCACGCGGAGATTGCGGGTTTTCATTTTCCCTGTTCTTCCTTGTTTTCAATTCCAGACGAGGACTCCGATTCCGACGAGGACTGAAGAACCAGAAGCCAACCAAGCACGAAGGGAAGACAATGGACCACTTTTCTCCTTGCTGGGTGGACTGCCAATTGAAACATCTCCCTTTGTCCAGCCCTGGCATCCTCTTCCCACCGCACCTTTCATGGAACCACCAAAGCACAGGCAGGGCAGTGATGAGGGAAAGGAGACAATTCCTGGTGCCATTAGACATTCCTTCACAACTACGGATTTTACAACCTGCCGGAGAGGTCTGTATCCAAAGAGCACATCTCAGTTCTCCAGTGCCTCTCCTTACTCAGCACCACAATGTACTGGGTAAACGGGAACACAGTATTTTAAACGTATAAGCAGAGCTTTTAATATGCTTTCTTAATTCCAAATCTCTAACACTTATAGCTTTTATACTTCTTGCTGTACCAAAGAAGAGAGGCTCAGAGTGCCTCTATTTTATTTCTATTTTTCTTGATTAACTAACAATATTTCTTTATCTGAATTCTGAATATTCCACTATCTGGAGCACTGAAGGCATAGATTATAGTCAACATGTTGGTTTCAACAAACACATCTCCATCTCCTGCCTGTCTGCAACAAGGACAACCAACAACTGGAAATGGGCAGCAAGAACAAACCTCCAAATATAATTGTGCCCCGGGGCAGCTGGCTCATCAAACATTGCATCATCACTTTTTTAAGCTGCCTGGATGGGGCAATTTCACCACAGATCTGAGGTACAACAGATGAGGCATCATCTTCCTGGCCCCCTTCCTACGTATTTCCATGGGAGCCCTCCTACGTGTTTGCACCCGCAGGTGAGGAAGGTTTGCCAAATGCCATCCAACAACCCAGCATCTGCCCGTCGAAACCTGCAAAGAGATCGCTGCCTGATCCCCTGCGCTGCCTTGCAAACACTGGTCCTCCCAGGAGATGAAACTTTAAGGTCCTTTCCAACCTGAACCAGTCCATGATTCCAAGTAGAGCTGGACTTTCTCTGCTGGGTTCACAAAACAGACAACTGTTTCTGTAAAACTCCGGACAGATGGGTCCCGGGAGGGCAATACACCCTTCCCGTGGTGAAAAGGCAGAAGAAACACCTCCAAACTAAAGGATGTCTGCAATGAAATTCATTTTCCCAGAGCCTTTATTTTGGAAGGGATGTGTTGGTTTTGGTTGGGTTTTTTTTCCCCCTGGAAGGACATGATTTATCTTGTGGGGGGAAAGCCTTCTCAATTTCCAAGAAGGTGCTTTCATGGGTAGCACAACCTACCTTGGAATATCTGTGTCCACCTATAAGCACATACTGCACAGAAAAAACACAGTGCGTTCCTTATATATGGCATCAGAGAGGTCGATTTCACATAAACCTGTATACATTTAACAACAACAACAAAAAATTAATACAGTACCAGAACAGGTGGCCTCACCGAAAAGTAATTGAAAGGAGAGCAGATGGTACTAACAGAGTAAATTAAAAACAGGGGTAGAACAATGAAGGCAGATTTCCTTTGGAAGGGAATCCCAGCCCGGGTGCCAGTTCCCCGCTAGCAGCCGGCTGCCAAGGGGCAGGAACGCGGTGCCCCGCAGCGGGCAGGGGCCGGGTCCCGAGCTGTGACAGGCAGCTCCTGCATCTCCCGGTCCCACACCACTGAAGGAATAAAAGCAAAACAAAGGGTTGCTTCCAAATGTGACAAATAATCTTTGCTTTTACGAGAAAAGGGCTCTTCGGACTTTTTCCGCTATGAAATTCCACGTTTCTTTCTTTTTTGTTGTCGTATTTTACTGGCACACACTGTGAAGTCAGGGGACCTGGGCTCGTTTTTATATTCAATTGTTTTGTATTTCTCTTTTTTTTAATTAAAAAAAAAATGTACTGCATGTGTCACAGCTGGAAACTAGTACATGGTGAATATTTAGAAACCATGCTGGATTAAACCTCTTTTAATAGAAGTGTTGGGACTCTTGTCTTATTGTAACCCCTGGTTTTACTGCCTTGTCCCCCGACCCACGAGAGCAGCGGTGTTTCAGGGAGCCCCATCAGGAAGGACACCGTGTGCTGGGGAGGTGACAACAGCACAAAGCCACCACTGGAGACGAATCATCGCTCACACTTACATGTCCTGCAAGGAGAAACTACATCTTTAGCACAAAACCATGAAATAATTTAACCAAGAATGAGTTCTAGCATCACTAGGAGACGTGGGAGAGCAGTGCTCTTACCCAGCAACTAACAGCGTCATAAACAACCATCCCCTTGGGGTTTACCCTTCACAGGCATGTTATAACCAAAAAAGCTGCTTTCTGGTAGTATTTTTTTACATTGGAATACTTCTAAAAAGCAACAGAAGAGGCAAACAAAATTGGTCTTTAGTTGCTTCAGGACTACACTAGCCTGTCCAGAGAATTTTGTTATTAGCATTCAAATATTTGATGATTTAATTTATTTCTAAGCAGTTTGCTCCCAGGGTCAAGCATTCATGTAAGAGTCCATCCTTTTATTTAAAAAGATCCGTTACCATGATTGAAATAAAATACCCTTCTTTATTTTACGGGTATCATTTCAGTAAAGAGAATTCAATTAGAAATAATTACTCAGGAAGGACACCGTGTGCTGGGGAGGTGACAACAGCACAAAGCCACCACTGGAGACGAATCATCGCTCACACTTACATGTCCTGCAAGGAGAAACTACATCTTTAGCACAAAACCATGAAATAATTTAACCAAGAATGAGTTCTAGCATCACTAGGAGACGTGGGAGAGCAGTGCTCTTACCCAGCAACTAACAGCGTCATAAACAACCATCCCCTTGGGGTTTACCCTTCACAGGCATGTTATAACCAAAAAAGCTGCTTTCTGGTAGTATTTTTTTACATTGGAATACTTCTAAAAAGCAACAGAAGAGGCAAACAAAATTGGTCTTTAGTTGCTTCAGGACTACACTAGCCTGTCCAGAGAATTTTGTTATTAGCATTCAAATATTTGATGATTTAATTTATTTCTAAGCAGTTTGCTCCCAGGGTCAAGCATTCATGTAAGAGTCCATCCTTTTATTTAACTCTAAAGCACATTCGTATTTGGGGGGGGGGGGGACGGGGACGGGACGGGACAGGCTGACTCAGTCCTTTTGGCAATCTGTCTCCTGCCAGCAATACTGCACTAAGCTCAGAGTCCAGCCCTGGGGGAAGGAAAAGCCTGCTTGGCTATTTGGCTTTTATGTGTGTATGTGTTTGCTTGTTTTTTCCTCAACTGATCAGATCAAAACAGCAGGAGGGCTGGCTTCTCTGCAATTCAGGAGCTGTGACCCAAGCACAGCCTTACCCCTGCAGCACAGAAGCCCCATCCAAGCTCTTATTTCGGTGTTCCACCAGGCTCATCACCAAACATCTCTTTTCAATCACAATACGATCCTGACTGAAATGAAGAGACTCAAACTGTCCTTCCAGCTCTCTGTCCATTACTCTACTTAATTTTGCTTTTCACCTGACACTGTTCAAAGCTCTCCAAGTCCTAAACTTCCACCAGACAAAGCAATCTGGGGGACACTCAGCAAAAAGCGGTGTATCTCAGCGCATGCGGTGCTTGAGAAGAAACGCTTCCACCAGCCTGGTGTGCTGGAAAGGAGAAGACAATTCAACACTCTGCAATAGCAAACAGATGTTTTTAATTCATTACGCCCCTGCTCAGTGTCCATTGTGCAAATTTCTAAGCCTGAATTTTATATCTTCCCCTGCCAGGCAGCCAGCAGCCTGTATCATGAAGCGAGCGTGTTCTTGTCACCAAACACCAACAGCGTGTGTTTCTGACACCGGCGCTCCCGAAACGCATCAAGAAAGGAGAAAACATACCTACTGCTGCTCAGCTGAGCTAAACCTCGCGGCAGGCAGCTCCTAACCGACCTCGCCAGAGAGTAAAAATAGTAAAATTCAGTGGCTTCATTCCAAAAACCAGGATACAAACTCCCCCTAAAGAGGAAATGCAGGATACGTATCACCGTACAAGCAGCAGCCCCACCTAGTCATCCTTTAATCTTTTTTGGAGCACGGAGAGAAAAAGAGAGAAAGAACACATCAAGATAGCAGAAGAAATTTTAGGTAAGCACTAAGAATGTGAGTCTTACTAAAAGATGCCCCAAATACCTTTTTTTCCACACAGCATTGGTTTAAAAGTCAGGATGGAGACACCATCTCTCATTTTTCTTCTAAATAAACAGGACTGCATCAAAAAAATCCACATTGCAGCACAGATTCCTCTTTTACTGGAAGAATGCACCGTACTCTGAATGTTTTGTAAAGCTTCTAGGTCAGAAGGTAACACAATGCTACCCAGAACACTTAAGCATATGTTTTTAAAAAAAGAAAAAGTCAGTTTTTCAATCTATTTCCTTGAAACAGAAAGCAACAATTCCCGTGTTAATTTTGCCAGGTAATATTTGTGCTTTCATGTAGTTTGTACCACGACACTTGGTAACACTGACCTGATACTTCCCTTTACAGATGAAGACAATGTTTTAGTACTTTAATATGTCCATTTATTAAACAGGAAGTCCTTCACAAATGATTCCATACTATATTGATCAAGATAAGTGTTAGAAAACTACCATTTTTCCCTACATACAAAAATACAGACTTTTACCACTATGAAGACATGATCAGAAGAGAACCATGAAAATCCGCAGAGCTCAAATCCTCAAATATCAGAAAAGAAAAAAAAAGACAGAATGACAATTAAATTTAAAAAAAAAATTTACAGGAAGTATTGTACCCATATACAAAAGACTGGAAAAGCAAAATGACATTTAAAACCGATAAATACACCATTTAAATTATGCTATGACAGTATGGATTTTAAAAACAAGACTGCTTTCTGCACGGTAAGACAATCGTTACAATTCTTCAGCGTGTGGTTGGTTTTTTTCTGTTTAGCATAAACACCACCAGAAAAGAGGAGCACGACATACTGAGAAATCAACTACTGGTGTGAGAGGGGGCTGGGGGTTGGGTCTACCTGTAGAGTTACCTCCCCTTTGGACTCGGTCAAGCCAGGGGTTCACAGCTGGAAGGTACCACCAGGGAAATCACAGCTTTTCTCAGCCAGCCTCCCGGGCAGTTTGGGAACTATGAGAACACTCACCAAATAACATCAAATCGCTTCACAGCTGTAAATTGTCTCTCTGCAAACATCTGCTAACTCGTGAGATTCTTCAAGTCCTCGATGGGGGTTTGGTGATCAGCAGGTACCTGATCAGCAGCCCCCCAAGTCCAGGGGGAATGCTGCCCGAGTAAGGGCTGCAGAGGCAGGTTCTGCATTGCTAGGATGTTTTTTTTTTCCTTGGCAAAACATTACCATTTTTCTTAACTTCAAAAGCAAAATACCAAGGGCATGACACAGACTTGTGCTCGTACGATAGAAGGAAAATTGCATCCCCTTTGCTCAGCCCGAGATGGAATTCTAACCCATGATTTCAACTGATGCTTCCGATCTGCTCACAATTACAGCTCTGTGGGTGAAGGACCTGTATCCCAAGGGATACGGGCCTGGATGCTCCTTCCCCAGCCACCACAGATCCCAAATGCTGAGCTAGAATCAGAACATTCAGATTATACCTGCGAGGTTTTTCGAGGGGACACAGAGTCAGGCCTGAGGACAGGGGTATCCCCACACGCAGCATCTCTTTGCGCGAGCCTCGAGGAAGGAAATTTGGGGTACCTTCTGGCTCTGCTCAGCAACGGGGCTCTGTCTCCTCCTGGCAGGCAGCAGCTGAAGGCAAGGGCCATGCAATGTGCCACCAGCCCAGAGGGACTGCTGAGAGCACACGGGGATGGGACAGCAGCAGCCCTAACGCTGCTGTCAGGGGGAGCAAAGCACAGCCAAGCCCGAAAGGCGTTAGTGACTCACGTTACAAAAATAGTGTTTACTGCTTTAATAAATTTACATCTCTATTTTTTGTGAATGACAAGTGTTTATACCACACATGGAAGGCACCCTAGGTGAAGCAGATTTTTTTTTTTTTTTTAGGGACTGCTGAGAGCACACGGGGATGGGACAGCAGCAGCCCTAACGCTGCTGTCAGGGGGAGCAAAGCACAGCCAAGCCCGAAAGGCGTTAGTGACTCACGTTACAAAAATAGTGTTTACTGCTTTAATAAATTTACATCTCTATTTTTTGTGAATGACAAGTGTTTATACCACACATGGAAGGCACCCTAGGTGAAGCAGATTTTTTTTTTTTTTTTTTTTTCCTCCGGTATTTTGTTTACAATTCTGTGAAAAGACATACAAAGTGTCAACTTTCAAATCAAAACTGAGCGTTATAATGAGAAATAAATACATACTTTACTATTTTATTGTGGGTTCCTGAACCCTTACAAACTTCAACATATACAAATAGTTTCAAAATGACACTAACACAGAAGAGAGTAAGTCTAGACAGATATAATGATTAGCTACGTCATTTGTTATATTATGTCATAAATGTTGTGTCCTAAGTATAGAAATCATTTTAAAATGCGATAAATTGGCCACAATATATAAATCAAAGTATTTTCTTACTCCAGAACCGTGACGTATGAGTTAGAGCTGGATGAACTGTAGTGCTAAGATATGCTCTCCCTCCACAATATCCAACGAGTAGAAACCGGTAAACATTCAAGATTAAAGTATAAACAGTATAAACCTGAAGGTAGCAACCGTTGCAATGAAAGGGTGTTAGCCAGAACCACTTTAACCTGTAGACGTGAGGATAATTGTAACATTACTAAAAATATTTAGACAACAATACTTTGGGGATTAAAAGGTTACCAAAAGTGATAAATCAGCCTAGGGTGAGAGAGGGTGTTTTCTTTCAAACACATGAAGGTTTTAATTAAATATGTCTATTGAGACATTTGTCTAAAGCAAAACAAATACAATACCCTGAAATTTCCCATATTCTAGACAATAGTCTGTGACAGTCAGAAGAGGCAGATGGTCGTATTTCGTTCTGTTACTCATATCCAGATGTTATTAAAATAGCTGTAGGGACCAGCCCCAATCAAAAAAGAAAAAAATCCAGATACTCTGTTAATATGATCTGGCTATTGCTTTTTGAAATGCTCCTATGTCCTCATTCTGAATTCATGAAGATAGTTTCCGTATCCTTCCATATATGCTAACTGGCTTTTTAAAATTTTACCCATGAAGTCCATGGTATACAGATAAAACCTTCATAGTAAACACAAAGCTCTATGTTATAAATATGTCAATCAAGGTAACTATGTATATTGCATATAAAATTAAATATCTTCTGTTTGCCAAGTATAATTTAAAAAGGAATATCTGTGGCTAGTTATAAAAAAATATTTATTAACCCATAGAGATTAAAAGGCAATTTCACTAACTCATCCATCCAGCACATTTGAAAGAGCTGCACTGGGATTCTGGACAGGTAACTTCATCTAATCACATTTTCATGATAAATAGACAACTTTCATTTCTGGGCAAATATAAGAACACTTTTGAAAGCTGCATATCCCAAAGGAAAATTAGATTGTGTTGTATACTCTAAATTAAAGGCTATCATAAATCACAGTGTAAGCAGATATTTTTTTTTAAGAATATTTTAGAATACAGATGGTTAAATTATAGACAGATTTTAAAAAGACAATGCAAAAGTAAGACCAAAACAAGAAAGGAACCCTTTCATGTTGGACAGCACTGCTCTGACTCTGTCAAACAGATCTATCCAGGTGGCCACGTGGCTAACGGGAAAAACAACATACAGCAAAAAACTCTCAAGTGGCATTCAGAGATTTCCTGAATATTTGTATAAATTCATTTTTAACCAACTCCCTCTGTTAAAATAAAGAGAGGAACACGGCAAAATTTCTACAAACTACTTCCAAACATTCTGCTGGTTATTGTACCTATTTCAGTTTCATTTTTAAAATATTACATTTGTTGCCATTAAAATTCACATACATGACATCTCTGTCTGCACAGTCTTTTTGAGCTTTGCTGGCCCTCTGAACAACCCGTTATTTTATGCTATAAATGACAAGAACTAAGCACCCAAGTTTCAGAAATGCTACATGACAGCTTGACCCACTTCAGTGGGACTGAGCAGAAATTAGTCTGAAACTATCCTTTCTCCTAGATACCTGGAGCCCACCTCCGGCCTGGGGGTCTCTGTGAACCAGCCGGGCTGGAGTTATTCCATAATCACACCCATTTGTCCACGTAACTCAGGTTTAACCTCGGTGTGGGATCTCCCCAGCACAGCCCCGCAGCTGGGGACAGCAAATCACTGCTACACCTACTTTTACTGCGGATTTCAGGTCTCTGTCTCTCCCTCTCCTTCTCAATAAAGGCAGAGGCAGACAAATCTCTCACCCTCTCCGCATGTGGCTCCTACCAAAAGCTCCCACAGAAGCACATGCAGCACACCCACGAGCTTCCAAAGCCCACAATAGAGGGAAATAATCCCATTTTTCCCAGCACATCCAGCCCAAACACCATCAGCTAAAGGGAAGAGGACCACAATTATGCAATTATTCGCTGGACACGGTATTATTACCTTCCTTACATGGAAGCAGACACTACACAGATCAATGAAGAAGGCTTAACAGAAATTAAATATTAAAATGTAAAAAAGATGAGGCATGAGTATATGAAATTAAAGGAACGAGTGGAGAGGAAGAAGGAAGCAACTTTACTAAGAAGCACTGAAACTGTCGAATCAGTTATTAACTCTGGGTTTAGAAACTTCTCAAACTCTTGCAGGCAGTTTGCACACCGTTACAGGAATGTAGGATAAACTTGAACCAAGGCTGACAAACCTGAGCACACATAGCATTAAAAGGAGAACACATATGCTTACAACACTATACAACGGTTGTTACGCTGTTGCCCCAATCACCTCTTATGCTTTAATTCATCTTCTGATGCCTGTGCATAGGTTGCAAGATTTACCGTTATTTCTACATGCAGGAATACATGGGGAGTGCATATCCGAGGGCTTAGTCTGACAAAAGAGGACTAATCAAAACCATTACAGTTTCGAGCGTCCCGTTCCTCCAAGGTTCAACTGTTTAGCTTCAATTTAGTTATATTTACAGTGGGGTTTTGAATCCCTTTATGGAGCTAAACAGCACTCTTAAGGACTAGAAGAAACTATCCCTATACACTCGGCAATTACACCAAGACTAACTGGCTAGGAGAACCAGTTTAACGTCACTTTTTTTAAGCAAGTTTTAAAAAAAAAAGTATTTTCCTCCTTCAGAGCTTTTTTATGACGACTGCAGTTCGAATAACAGTCTGAAAATATTACCACCTCTTCAACACACCGTGTAAAATTAAGTCGGGCGAGTGGGGTGGAGAATCAACCGTGTATGTATCATATGATGCTAATGTTTGGAGTTTAGTTGTCTCTCACAGCTACTTTTATTTCCCTTCTATATAATCCAAATAGTAAATAATGTCTCTGTAGAGTAATAAATGCTTAACTTAGATTTTTAGAAAGTATATACTGTACAATACTAAAATCATCTTTGGTCCCCAAAATAAGGAAATTACAAATTTACATTTGCTTTTCTGTTGTACAAAGTGTATCAGATAGTACTTTTTAAATTAATATTATTTTTGAATTCTACCCTGAAAGCTGTGCTAAGCTCAAGTCATGGTGTAAGTAATAAATAATGTCATAATGTTCTCAGCTCAAGAAAATGTTATTTCACAAGTAAAAGCACTCAAGGTCATTCGGGTCTGCGATACAGACGATGAAGTACTACACTGTATTAGAAGTATAACTGCATCACTCTGCATTTGTCACGCCAGCTAACGGGTAACTAAAGCTTTTCAGGGTCTCACTCCAGAAAAAGCTCAGTGAGGTTATCCTTTTTCTAGGCGAGGAAAGGTGCAACAACTTGAAAGATCCCAAATTCCTAAGCTTGCAGAGGCAGGAGAGCTCCCACAGCTCTGGAAAACCAGGATGAGCACAGGTGGCAGAGGAGAGGAACAGGGCGTTCTCTTACACACTCACCATTTCAGTCCCTGTCATTAATCAGCCAACGACATCCTCCTAACGAAAAGCTTTCACTGCACATCACTGAACTCCTGCTTCCTGATTTCAGGTGAGGGTTCCACTCTAAAAACATGGATCTTCTGGAGGACAATATTCTGCATTTGAGTAGGGGGTTTGGGGTTTTTTTGGTGTGGGGTTTTTTGTGGTGGTTTGGTTGGTTTGGGATATTTTTTACAATCTTTATCCAAACTGCTTTAATACCGGTTTACAATTCCAGTCTAGATACGCTTGTGCTACTTTTAAAAAGGCTCTTTTAATAATTAACAGTATCTACAAACGCTCCTTGCAAACTTTGCCAGCACCAGGCAGACTGCTGAAAAACAGCCAGGCTGTAACGACCGTACTGGCAAAAATAAACTCTGCTACTTCACACCACGGAACTGTCAGTTGCTTTTCCTGAAACACACAGTAACCATGGTGAGGCACCACCTCAACAAACTGTGTTCTAAACCCAACACTAGAGGTTGGCTGTATGGTTTGATCTTTCTTAAACTGGTGTTCCCTTTGGCTTTCTAATGGGAGCCCTATGGCTCCCATTAACTTTCTATGAAGCACATTAAAATATTACTATAGTAACCAGTAAACCATTACTCGTTAAGAAAATGCAAGTTTTCTTTAACCTCATTAGTAATTCTTTCTGAATTTTAATCTCCGTCTTGGCCACTAAGGTGAAATGCACTGTGGGTATCAGTAAACTAAAAATGGTAAGACATTGCTTTTGTCACTGGATTTTACACATCAAAGTAATTCTCTTGCTGAATTCAACCACTGCAGTGTCAGGCTCACACCTCTCACTACCCCAGCTCCCTCCAGAATTCAAAAAGCCCAGGCACTTCTACTCATCTCCTGTATTGCCCTTTGTTCTTAAGACTCCAGTGAACTGCATTCATCCACTTAAGAGCACAGCTATGGAAGAACACAATACAACAAGTATTCAAGTCAAACGTGAGTTAAGTTCAGGTGTCTGTGGCACACAGTTCTGCTGATTTCAAAAATTTCATCATCTCACCCCAGAAAGGAATTCAGCTGTAGAGATCTCCTCCCCGACACATTTTCTTCATGTAACACGCAGGCAACGTGCCAAAGAATGGATTACACAGATAAAAACATCACTCAAAAACACCAGAAAAACAGCAAGGGACATCCTCCTAATAACGTTATGATATTGTCTAACTGATGACTGCAGAATTCAAGTTTTGAGTCGAGATAATATCCTTCTTTTCACTGAAAGTACAATTAAAATAAGGAAACTTCAGTTTAGGTAAAACTATTTCTAAACAAATCAGTACAACCATATTATCCTCCAATTATCTAGACTCATTTTCCAATAAAACAGGAGAGAAAAAAAATTGCATAAACATTCAATTAAAAAAAAATTTTAAAAATCAATTTTACCTACCACAAACAGTTTTAATTTTAGAATAAACAAACAACCCTTCAAAATATTTATCTTACGTTAATCACAATGTTGCAACTTTAGAAACATTTTTAGAAGCACATCATAATTTTTTGCTAGTTCTTGCTTACCCAAGGCTTCTCAGAAAGGTTGAACCTTACAAAAAAAAAAAAGGGAGGAAAAAAGAGAAAAAACCAACAACAACCAAATGAAAAAAAGCCGTGACTGGAATGTAAGTCAACTGGATGACAACCCCTTCTTTCTGTCCTGTGCCCCTCAACTCCCTTTCCCCCACCTTGCCTCCCAAGCACCTTTCTTTTGCCATTTTGGAATGAAAACCAGAATGTATCCCAACTTCAGCAGAAAACCCTTGTACCTGCACTTCGTGCGTTATGATGACAATTCAGCAAACATGCTGACTTCACACAGGTCAGATCTGGCCCGGGCCATGCCTGAACTGAACATGGCAATTTCAGAGTAGCCCAGAGGGCAACCACCTCACTGCTACATCCAGCCACCAAAACTGTGCAATTGTTGCCCATTTCAGCCCTGCAAGTGCCCCAACAGGGAAACTGCAGGAGATCTTGCAGCTGAGAACGGAGCCGCGCTGCCGAGGCTGCATGAGGATGGATACAGAGGGTTTGCTGGACGGGATACATGGCTAAAGTTATTGCTGTTTGCCCCTCACTTCCTTTTTCATGTGTATTTATATTTACTTTTGGTAGATTTCTTTCTTATATTAACCCAAGCAATGTAGTGTTTACAACAGATGAAGAAACAGTGGCAGAACATGTGTATTCAGAGCTTGCACTTGGGAGAGGGAAGGAAAGTTCTGTGCAGTTAATCCGAAACAGTAACATACTGCAAAACATATATATGTTATATATTATATAAGATATATAATATACGTATATATATGTGGATGTCTTAAACTGATCTTGCTTTTGAATGACCAATATTTACTGCCTTCATGACAACAGCTTCTGACTCAATGCACCTCTGCACGTGTGCAGGGCTGGGCACTCTTTGCCACCATCCGATCTTCCTTTTCTTCCTTAAATAAAGAAAAAAACCCTTTAATTCCACGAGGGAGTTAAGCACTTCTTTTCCCTTTGCAGTCCCATTTGAACGCTGCTTTCACGCATCCAGACGCTGGATCTCAGGGCGATGATCTACTTCTCTGGATTCTGTCCGAGCACGAATGTAGTCACTCGTCTGCCGACTACTCTGTTGTCTGCTGTTCATTCGCCACTTTTTAATAGCTAAATACGTGTTCACAGCATACACTGCCATTGCCAAGAAACCAAAGATCTACAAGAAGTAGAAAGAATTGTCAAAGACAATTTTTGAAAACAAGAACAATAGTAGTTTCACAACAAATTCCTCAGAAACTTCGTTTTTTACTTCATTTGCACTGACAAATCATCATGGCCTGTAAAATTGATGTTTTCCTTCTTCAATCTGCAAAAGCGACTAAGACTAATGATCCCAGAAAACAAAGTTCTCTTGTCTACAAACATGACAATGAAATCCTGCAATGCAACTTCAATGGAAGAACCTCTTGTGAAGAAGAATAGAGCTCTTCATCCAACAGCTCATTCCTCGGGCTGCACAGAATAGTGAATGACAAGAGAAGAGATGATCAGTCCAGACCCTCAGCCTGGAGAAGGAGCTCATTTCCAGTTCTTCCTACATGCTTCAACTCTTGTGTGATTTTCAACGTCTAGAATTTTTTATCTTCATTTTAAAAAGTTGCCAGTTCAAGCACAAAATTAATTTGCTTGAGCTTACTGCCCTAGATTTATAATCTCCAAGTAAAGGTCTACTCACTCCACAGAACAAAAATGATCTGTAGTGAGCAAGAATAACTCAGCTAACTATGTGTAAACAGCCCAAATTTGTAGGAGCCTAAAGGTCTACTCACTCCACAGAACAAAAATGACCTGTAGTGAGCAAGAATAACTCAGAAAACTATGTGTAAACAGCCCAAATTTGCAGGAGCCTGTAACATCTCTCTCATGAGGAAAGGCTGAGGGACTTGGGTCTTTTTAGTTTGGAGAAGAGAAGACTGAGGGGGGGGGGATCTGACCAATGCCTATAAATACTTAAAGGGTGGGTGTCAAGAGGATGGAGCCAGTCTTTTTCAGTGGTGCCCAGTGATAAGAGTTAATGGGCACAAACTGGAACATAAGAAGTTCCATTTAAACATGAGAAGAACTTCTTTCCTGTGAGGGTGGCAGAGCCCTGAACAGCCTGCCGAGAGAGGTGGTGGAGTCTCCTTCTCTGGAGACATTCCAAACCCACCTGGACACATTCCTGTGCAACCTGCTCTGGGTGGACCTGCTTTGGCAAGGGGTTGGACTAGATCTCCAGATGTCCCTTCTGACCCCATAGCATTCTGTGATTCTTGTGAATTTTCAGCTCTGTCTTTTCTGTAGCCTTGCAATATCCCTTCCGACCCCATAGCATTCTGTGATTCCTGTAAATTTTCAGCTCTCTCTTTTCTGTAGCCTTGCAATAAAGAGCAGCAGCATCTAAGCTAGCTATAGAGAAAGGAGCAAGGCTGCAGGTCATTTTTCTGGTTGTTCTTATCCTAAGACAAAGAACTCAAAAGATGTAAATGATTTTAAATCAGAATTAGCATACAGCCAACTGTAAAACTAGAAGTAAACCGTGATGGCAAAGGCAACAGGAGTATTCAATGAACACGAGAGAAAATGTATTCTTAGTTTCAATAGAAGATAAGAGGAATATATAAAGAAGTTCAAATTCTTACCACAGCAGCAATTTCTGCTCCAGTTTTATGGTTTAAAGCAGCAAGTACTACAGAGGCAATGAAAAAGAAGAAAGTGCTGAGTCCAGTGTTGACCAGATCCTAAAAAAATAAATTCATTAGCATTACTAAACAATGATTCTTTGCTTGCTTTGATTAGAAGCGGTGAAATAGAAGAAGGTTAGAACAAGAACTAGAGGAATACTTTCCCACCTTCCATGCAGTTTGTTACTTATAGAAAAGAAGGCAAAGATTATTACGCAGGAAATGTAGCATGAACATTCATTATTCTGCGAACTTCATATACACATACAGCACCAGCCCGGATTCTGGATGCGCTACTTCCATTTCTGCTGGGTTTATTAGAAAGGTACTGTCAGCACAATGAGTAAAACTGTTCTACCTCACTGATGCTGAAGTAACCCAAATATCCAGCTTTAGCCTTCCAGGAACTCCTTTTTCTCTTTCACATCCTACCAGCACCCCATGTGCTGCCCAGACAATAGTCACAAATTTTACTCCAAATTCTTTGCGGCATTACTATTTCTGTAACAGCTGCCCATATTGTGAGAATACACAGATTTTTACATATTTATTGAATAAAATTGATGTTCCAAGCTGACCTTTTGGAACATATGCACAGCAACGCCCCAGGGACACCTATGTTCACAGAAAATTCTCACTTTTGCTCAAGGTACAGGAAAAGGACAGGCACCAGGCAGTTCAGTTACACACACGCTGCGTGTCACTCGGTGCTGGGGGGATTTCGCTGCCATCCCTTACAAAAAGCAGGGTCATTAATGTATCATGGGAACAGAAGTAAGAATTCTGAAGGGCAGCTATTAGCACAAGAATAATTACATGAATACAAGACTTGAGGCTCAGAAAAATTCAAGAGTTGAGACTTTAAAATAATAGAAGAAATAAAATGCTAGATTCTTTAGGGACTAGCTGTGCAGTATGTTACTTAGGCCACCTTTTACAATTTTTTTAAAACATTTGATATGTATGTACACTGCCCTGTACGTACACTACAGAGATGTAGGAAATAGCAGGTAAATAGATAAATTATGAAAATAGACATATTAGAAAATAAATGGCATTTCATAATTTCTCCAATTCTAAGTTTAGCAGCTCAAACTGTGCTGCCAGGGCTGCCAGCAAGAGCTGTGGTTCTCATCTGCACAAACCTTTTTTCACTAGAGGGGAAGTCTCACTATAATATGACAATGTGACAACAGTTGACAACAGATTCAACAGTATTCACCATTCTCATCAAGTTTCTAGAGTAAACATATATATATATGCCATCAAGAATGCTGAAACTAAATACTGAGGAGAGGGCAGCTATGCTCTTAAATAATATAAAAATAAATAAAAGAATCAGTTCAACCCGAGGTCAAGTTGTATATTTTACTACCAAGCACATTTGCCACCTACAGGCATGACCTACACAATGAAGACAAAATGCTAGAAGAAATATCTCAGAAAAACTTAGCAATTACAGTAGGTAAGCACCTCAACATGTGATGCCATGACACACAAAAAAAGGGAGAAAAAGCACTTATACATTCTTTGGGACATAGGGACACGATAGGTGTAAGGTGGTGATCTTACCTTTGCAAGGGACACTGGAACGCTGCATCCTGTTCCGGTATCCACATTTTTAAAAGTATGTTGAAAAAATTGGACAGGGTACAGAGAAGAGCCACAGAAGTTATTTGAAAGGAAGAGAAAATTTCTCACAGTATGAATCAAAGAACCTAAAGTGCTTTGAATCTTAAAAAGATTGAGCTGTGTACATGAAGACTCCAGTGTTCAAATAATGAAAAAAACACTAGCCGTTTTAAAAGTTTAGCATACAAAAGCACAAAATTAATAGTATAATAAAATTAACAGATGCAGAGTCACATTCAAAATAAAGCAAGCTTATTTTAAGGAAGCTAATCATCAGAACAAACAACTGAATATGTGTTTAATATTCCACCTTTTCATTTCTTATAACCCAGCTGTTTTTTCAGACACATTTTGTACTTCCTTAATACCATACTTAAAGACTAAGTGGATGATACATAATGCACTATGTTTTATGGGGTCAGATGTGCTTATTAACGAATCCTGCTGATGTCTGACAGCTTGATCACCTTGCCAAAGGACAATAGCATAAGCAAGACAGCTAGGTCTTTTATTTTATTCTACTCTTTACAAAGAATATCAAAATTCTCCTTGTAAAGAATCAAACATTTCAAATTAAAAGACTTGACTCCATCTTGAGCCACCAATTTATTCGTTTCTGCAATTCCATTTTGCCTGTTTAGGTGAAACCTTTTAATGCTATTCATAATTGATTCACATAGAGTAAGGTTGGTTTCTGAAAAAGCAAAAAATAATACAGTTTTTCATAGCCACAGATCAGATTGTTTGGAGCTTAAGAAGCAGTGACACATCAATAACACAATGGTAACATCACAGATGCAAATATTGGTGGAAGTTTTTAATTAAAAAAAAAAAAAAAAAATGAGCACTTTAATAATGTGAATGCCCCAGGGGCCAGACAGCTGATTTCTGTGAAAACCCCTTTTTTGGGTTTTTTTTTTTTTAAATTGGGAGAAGTTTTTAAATAAAAAAAAAAAAAAAAAAAAGGAGTACCTCCTACTTACAGCAGAAAGATAAAAGAAAAAATTACACCAGTTTTGGGAGAAGTCAGAGCAGAAACAAAAGAGAATGAACTACAGCAAGAATTCAAGCAGTAAAGGACACACCCTAAAATAATGTAGCTTTTTTTTCCACGTAAGAGAAAATGAATAATCGTGACAATAAAAAGAATAAACTAATTGAAAAAAGATGAGCCGTTTCAAATCTGTCCATGTTGTAGCTGAAGTTCTTGCTATTATATTTATAGACAAAGTAAAAACCACATCACACAGATAGAAGAATTTCTGCTGAAATTACAGCAACCTCATGAGACAGAACACTGTGCCATAAAATACTGTACAAAGCTGCCATCCATAACAGAGAACAAAATCTACGAGCTGACTCAAATCCACTCTAGGCTGCTGCTGCTCCCTTCCTCCTTTCCAAAATAATTTAAAAAGAAAAGATTGACTTATGGTCGCTTGCTAGTTATTCGAAAGTCATTCTGTTCAGTCACCAACAGTCCTATTAGTCCAAGGGAGACTATCCAAGGACATGTATTTGTTACTGCCACCACCAGTTATCTGTCCTGTTCAGAGGAGGCATCTTAACTTGGGGATGAAGATGAATTTATGCCAAAACAGCACTTTATACTAAAATAGATGGGGTGAGGCTTTTGTTCTGCTGATTTTGCTGTAAAGGTGGGAAACTATAAAAAAGTGGACAGCATCCTACAGTCTTTGTTCTTTAAGGGTCTGGGCAGGTATGGTTCCTGGATGAATGAGGAAGCTGAACTGGTGCTATGAATGAGAGGTCATTTAAAACTCCCACAATTAACTCCTGAAAGCTGCAAGGGACATCAGCTTCGACAGCTTCAGTTTGGTACATCACCAGGAGTTGGCTCTGATCCTTCTACAATCCCCATTTCATTCGGGTTTCTTGAAGATCACCTGCCTATTTCCCTCTCAGGTCTTTCTTGGCTGCTTTCCCTGCTTGTTTGTGCAAGAAGCATCTCTGCACACCGACAGGACCAACAGTTACCATCAAAAAAACAACAGACCTTACTAGAATCAACTACAAAACCATGTAATATTTCTTGTATTTAAAACTTGTGCTTGTATTTCTTACAGAACAACGCAGCATTGTTTACACTATGCTGCACCAAATGAGAACTGCCCATGAAGAGCACTAACCCAGAGGAAATTAATTTTGACAATTTTATAAAATATTCATTTTTATCCTTAATAGGCATTGCTATTTTGACAGCAGTAAACATAAAAGCGAAGGATGACTTACTTAATTTCTCATTCAACAGCTAAGCAAGCCAAAGAAAACCAAGATGTTTCTTTCCAAAGAGAAAGGAAAAATAAATAAATAATTTTTTTAAAAAGAAATCAAGATTGCCCCGTGAGGGCCTTTGAACTACAGCTTTGTAACTACACTCATCAGAGCCAAGGTTAGAAATAAGACAGTTTGTCATTCTGGCACCACATCAAATTTCCTCCCAACTACTTCAGTGTCAGTTCCTCACACACAAGGTTTCATCTCTGCAACAACTGAAAAAAAAAACCCCAACCCTGCAAAGATGATGAAATAAGTGTTCAGGCAGCACAAAATACAACCACTGATCTGTGTCTTCAAAGGGACACACCTGACTCCCCGAGCTCCCTCCCCGTAGCAGCGCTTCCCTGGGACCCAGGCTAATAAGCCCGGCGGAACTCTAATTAGTTTGTGCTGCGCTCAGTTCTTTGTCTCATCTTTGAGGCTGCTCTGGGCTGGAAAACTCTGTATTCAGAACTGAGCACATACAAAACACACTACCAGAGCTCCAGGGGATGTTTAAAAATAAAATAAAATAAAAATCAATGCTCAAAATCTATTTCTGCTACACACAGACATAAACAGGCCATTCTACTGGCTAATTATGCCATGATTTACATCTGTAATGACTTGGATTTCTCTCGTTATACAAACACTCATCCAAGAGATACTGTCAAATTCCAACATTCTCAGCTGTTTGCCATCAATTCTCCCCCTCCCCAAGTCATCTCAGTTCCCAGTCCTGAAAAGTACCCACCCTGCCGTGACAGCCAGTGTCAGAAAGCCTGGCAGACCACAGGAAAATTCACCAGAACCCCAAAATTACTACAAACGCTTTGTCCAACCCTGTCCCTGCTTCTCGAGGGCCATGTCATCCACACAGTTTGGCTGCAAGACCTCAAGCTCTTGCTGTAGATCACAACACACAAGTAATGAATTTGAAAAAAAGGCTAATTTAGCGAAACACAAAATTATAGCAAAACAAACATTTCAAAGTGGCATCTGATCAGTTCAGCAGGATCACTGCTACGGGGTGCTCTCCATTCCCCTATTCCCCTTCAAAGTCTCCTTGCAGAATAGGCTTCCTTTGAGCTGTGAAGCATAAGGGAAATGGAAAATTCCACTGACAGGTTCCCCAGCTTTTGCATTTTTGCATAATATCAATAGTGCTGCACAACACAGACAAATAATTGACTGTTCTTTCATCTGCTGTAGCAGACCTGCCCCTTTCCAACACACCCGAGTGTGGCCTCACCATCTCCCTGATTCCTTCACATTTACCTCATGAAAATGAGAAAATAGTTAGCGTGTCTCTAAACAGGATCAAAACAAAGCTCTTTTCCACAAATGACTACAAATATATATCAAAAAGCTATGTAGTAAATCTGCATTTCTGTTAGTTGCTAGTACATATTGATCCACATTTTCATTCCAGTCAGGGATAGCCAACATCAGACAATAAGCCACACTGCATTAGAAAGAAATCCAATTTTAATCAAGTACTAAAGGAGACAATTTTGTGTTGGCCAGTGGCAGTTGATAGCCTGGTACTTTCTAATATATAGGATCATTTGAAAGCAAAAGGTTTTTCTAGGAAGTTTGTGTGAGTACTGTGTTTAAAGAAAAACTTCTTCCTAAATTTAAGACTATGAAATTCTTCTAAGTACTGTAACAGCCTCTTCTCCTCACACAGCTTCTAAAAGCAAAATTTGAGACTTTTCACAAGGGAAATACCCATTATAGAGTCATACATATTTTTTTAAATCATGTATATTAATGAATTTATGTATAAGCTGGAGTGACTTCCTCCTAAAGCATTCAGGAGTGTGAAAGTCTGTTACTCAGAATGCAACTCCTGTGATAACTGTGTCACTTAGAGACTGCAAAATTATCAAAATAACCACCAAAACACAGGGAAGTACTAAATATTGAAAGAGGCAAATAACATATGAATATATATCTAAATTGTTAAGAATCAAATGCCAAAATAACCCAAAAACACATCTGCTGCTACTCTATATTCTTAAATTTCCTACAAACTTTGGCAAAGTAATCTCCCATAGGAACACAAGCTGGGTCTAGTATTCACAGTGAAACCACTCGCATCGCACCAGCAAGACCACCATGTATTTTGTGTGACACTGAAGCACTTACACACTTGTAATCACACTCCTGTACACCCTACTAGCGCATCCAGAAGTGTGCAGTATAAAAAGACAGTCTTCCATGGCTGTTATCAGGTGTCAGGCTGTTGTGATGCTCATTGACCAACCAAGTTGGCAACAGAACAGACCAGAAAGAGACCACCCTCTGCAGCCACTGCTGTTCAGCTTGCCACAAATATCAACAATACTGGCAGAATGGAGGCACAAGGAGCAAAGGCCAGGACAAACCAGTAACGTTCCTGTGGTTCCACTGGTTTTGTTTTGCAAGCCACCTGGATGTCCCCCACCTACAGCTACCAGCCACAGTTCTCAGTCCCTCTAATTCACCAAGTACTCTTACAGGGAGAGCTCCTCAATAGATGGTGCATCCACAGGGCACAAAGGATCCTCTAATTCCACATTCCGGTATCATTTTAGACAAGTCCTTCAGGCTTATAAACAGTTACTGAAAACATGCAAGTTGCAACATTCATGAATTACTTTAAAAACAAACAAACAAAGAAATCAGATAGAAACCCTGGGATTGGTCTCCAACAGAACTTACAAACTTGCTGTTACAAAATAAAACACAGCATAGGCACATATCTATCTATACTGTCCAAAGAAGTTGGTATAAATAGTACCCTTGAAGCTGACAGCTCTTTTGCTGGAGTGACAAACATGTTCATTTTGTGACCTGTGTTTATGCAACCCAATCTGAAAGTTTAACTCAAAATACATCATGGAAATGGAGACTGGTACAAAAGGAATGTGCTCTGCCAGCAGTTCTCTTCCCAAAACGCCTCATATTTGAGAACACATTAAGCATTGCCAGTCAATGTTTAATAGTTATGCGTGTAAGCAAATCAGAGCACCTGATTTTCACAGAAAGCACATAATTTTTTACATTACTGCATGATTATTGTAATAGTCTGTGTAAGGAAATATATGTAGCACAACTGTCCTAATATAAAAAACAGCTTAGGAGAGAACAACGAGCTACTGTAAATACAGCATCTGTCAGAGTTAAGTAACTACAGGCTGCATTTTTATCCGCTTCATCCACAAACAGTAATTACTGGCATTAGTAGGAAGTTTTTCCTTCCAAAGGGAATCTACCAGAGGACAATTTTAGTTCTATTTAATGTAGTTTAATCTTGTTACATTTCAAAGCTCATTCTGCCATTAGTACTCCAAATAAATACAAGTATAACGTATGCTTTACTCAGCACAGAGAACACTCATACACAATCTGAAGTCGAAAGCAGAGTTCAAAGACCAAACTTTAAAACAGATTTGCTGCTATTTTTTAAGAGAGTGAGGATTTGTATGAACTTACAGTAAGATTCCAGTTGATCTGCGGTATTCTCGTGTGAAGGTTTAGACTGAACATAAGCAACAGAACTCCAGTAACCACCAACGCGCTGCAGCTCACAAACTCGAAGAAATAAAGGCCTTCGCAAGGGGAGCATTCCATGATGGTCTCTATGCAGATGAATGCAATCAGTGCCAAAACCTAGGAAGAAAAACAAGTGGAAAAAAAAAATATAAATAGATTTCCACATTTTGAAAATAGCCACAAGTATTCCTGAAATTTCCATTGGGAACATGATCAGTTTACACTCAGGAATGTGTGATTTTAGTTTATAACAGGGCACTGTCTAGAGAGCAAAAACAAAGGCAAATTAATGCAAGACTTTCTGGATATCTCCTGTCGAACAAAGTATATTTTAGCAAAATTACAAGGAGTCTAAAAAGAAAATGACCGAGACACCCAGAAAGGCATGAAACCCCTTCAGGCCACTGGCTTCATATGCAAACGGCACCTCAAGCGTTATATTTCATTTTTCACCCATGATATGCCATTCCAAAACTTGAAGATGGAATGCATTCTTCTATTGGGCCAACCTCAAGCTCAATTATATAGTATTAATATAGTGTGATTTCAATAAAGGTATTATTTAAAATTCACTACCGTCTCAAGATCTAAATCAATTCAAAACCAAATAGATTCATGATACCATCCTCCAAAAATGCCTGCCTTTTTCATGTTTTTTTTTTCAATAATATGAATTTCATATAAAACCATGTTTTATCATTCCCTTACTAATAAGACAATAAAACAAGCAGCGAACAGACGAAGACGACGCTCCTGGTGCTGTGAACACATCCATCTAACTGGGATACTGGTTAGTCACAAAGTACAGAAGGTACCTTGGTAGAGTTAACACAAATGCAGACTATCGCAGGACAACAGTTTAATTTACTATTTAAGATAAAACAGTGAACCTCAATACACTTCTAAAAAAATCTGCCCAATGGACAAAACTAAAACACGTAAAAAAACATACACCAATATTAGCTACCACTTAGACAGCATTAGATAAGAGAGACATCTTAAGTCTATGTTTCAAACCGATTCCTCTTTAAATATAACTGGTAGAAGAAAAACAGTTGCATGGACAGTTTTATTTTGGTTTGGTTGGTTTTTTTAATTTTCCATGGCAAGCAAGGAAGGCCATAAAAGTGTTTTGCTTTAGTTTTCAAGACAACAACCCCCCCACCCACCCACTTACATTTTTCAGAAAGAATTCACTTTCTTGCTCTGCCACAAAATTCTAATGAGACCATAGTAAGTCACTTCAATTTGAGGAAGAAAAACTTGGGGAGATAGCCTCCCCAGAGCTAAATACTCCATCATTTGAAGGTTTTGCACACAGAAAACATGAGTTTAAGAGACTGACAGAAGCCACAAAACAAATCAGTTTCTGTTAAGTCCTTCTTTGCCAACTTCAATAACGTTTTGCAAATACACTTTCTTCCAGCACTTTTTACGCTTCATCCATTAAAGTGTCTTTGCCTCCTACAGCAAAACTAGAAAAATGAAGAAAAAGCATTTTGAAAGAAGTTACTATGTTTGTCACTAGCATCAGCCATAATTCTAAGTAAAGGGCAACACCCCACGTGCTTTGTCTGCCAAATACTTCAGAATACAGTAGCTAATTTAAGTTTAAAAATGGATTAAGACAAAGCAAAACCTTTTTAATCAAAAAACATCTCTCACCCTTCACTTCGGGCACTCTCTTTAAAAGAGCACGTGCCATACTAATTTTTGCCAGCTAATAGAGCAGGCCAAGTCACATCAAACAAATTCTGAATGGATACCCAGTGACTAAACACTTAACTTCAGATATTACCCTTTGCACTGAATAGCTTGGGAAAAAAAAGAAAGAAAGAATATGTAATGAAATGGAACAGTCAGAAAACCAGAATCCAAGTCAAGCTATAATTTCAGCAATGACACACACACAAGAAATACTGTCTGGAACACAGCTTCATGTTACAGTACTAGCATGCAATGAAGTCCACCTCTTCTGTGAACAAAAGCCTCACAACTGAAGATGACACTGAATACAACTTAAAAAAGAAGATCTGAAAAAAATAACCAAGTTGTTTCAAGCAGGATCAATATCAAGTATTAATGATAAATGTCAGCTGCCAAAACTTTTAACTGTTTTATGTTCCAATATTACAAACTCTTCATTTTTCTTGCCACTATTTTTGATGTATTATGACAGTTTTAAAATTTTTATTCTTTTCAAAGAAATGGCTTTGCGATATTCTCTAGAAATACCGTAGTACAGGCCCAAACAGTATTAGGTTCATTTTCTAAAAATAGGAATTGCTCTGAATTGTGTCATCAAAATCAGGCTGAAGGAGCCAAAAACTCGGGCACATCAATCCTTACTCTGGGCAACTGCTACTTGGCATATGGAGCCTCTGCTGCTTTGCTGATAGGAATCTCACCAGCCAGCACTGCTGCTGCCAGGCTGACGTACCCATCTCAGCAGAGCTCAAAACAGATGAAAGAGTTTCTTGCATACAGGATTAGAAATAAATTATGTACTGAAGAGGCACTTGAAGCAATGAACTCTAATCATCGCATGTTACTTATACGCTCCCAAGCTCGGAATTAATAATTAATGAATTTCAGAGCAATTCTATCTTAAGATTTATAATTTATTCAGGGATAAAATGAAAAGACATTAATCTGCAACACACTCTTGCAAGAAAAAAAGTGTTGGTTGTGTACACTTAGGTTTGACTTGACCCAAAGCATCTCAAATGCGAGTAGAGATGAAGCTGAGCCACAGTTTAAGGTCCAGCAGCATCAGTGCACAGCAGCCTGGGCTGGGGCAGCCCAACTCTACTCATATTTATCAGAAAGGTTGGGAGCAAACCTCAATTGCTTCCATTTATGATTTATTTGTAATTTATTTGTAACACTTTCATACTTCAAGTTAGATTCCAACTAACCGTGTTACCTTTTTTCCTGCAATAAAAATCTATTTAACCCTTCTCAAAGACTACCCATCCTACCAGGGCTACAGACAATGCCTTCCTGTTCGCTGCCCAGGATTTGTCTCATGATGAATGCTATGACAAAAAATGAAATCCAAATGAATCACCGCATCAGAAAAAGCTATCCTCCCACAGAAACTTCCCTTTTCGTAAACACAATAAGAATCTCAGTCTTTTATAAGAAATATTTTCTCTTTGAAACATCAGGGTAATCTTGTCCTCCTACACACTTACAGACTTGCCAGAAGCATCCTTCTAATTAACTACAAGTAATGTGAATCTTCTATAAAAACACACAAGTGCTGCTTTCACTGGCCGTTCCACTCTGAGAAGAACCTAATTTTGTTTCTAATAAAAAAGCAAACTACTCTGAACACATGAAATGAAAGTGAAATACATTATAGAATCGAACCCAGGAGCCAGCCAGCTACATCACTTGAGTGGTGTATATATGCTGCAAGATGAGCCAAAGCGGCTTTGCCAAAGGCCACGCTTCATCCAGCGATCAAGTTCATTTAAACAAAAAACAAAAACAAAAAAAAAGTGTTAACATCATAAGAAAAATGCTTCCTTTTCTCTACATTTTTAAATGTATGAAATGGATAATTTATGAGTGGCTATATAAATTAGGTAGTGAATTAGCAGTTTTGCCACCCAGAATATGAGTTGTCTGACATGGCCATAAAGCCGAGTGATGTGATCCTCACGCTCTCTTGGGAAGAGGAAGGAAGGATGAAGACCCTCCTGCCCCTCCCGGGAAGTTTTTCCACAAGCAGAAGTTTTACGGTTGGTTTACTGAAGAAAAATGAGAAGCTGAACATAGTGGAGATCTCCTCTTGCATGAATTGTTACTCTCTCCCACAAATGACACAGCTACAGCTTTCCTGGGCAGAGTCAATTGAGAAAGTTTCCTCTGATGGATGAAACACACCTTTTCAGCCGGTTCTCTCTTCACTGAGCACTTCAGGGAGTTTTCTATTCTACCCTAATCCCTCCAATGCTCTAACATTTGTATAACTCTCTTTGATTACTACCTTTCTCTTTTTTAACAGTTGCTTTTGGTTTCCCTTCTACTTCCACTCGTCTTGAGGAAGTTCAGTAGATACTGTGTTGAGATGTAACTCAGTCACTGGGGAAACCTCTGCGAACTCTGCTGGATGCTCAGGTCCATGCAGAGCCATCTTCTTCTTGAGGAAGGGCTCTAACTCTGTGATGGAGCAAACCCATCCCCAGCCCTCCATCCCTCATCTCCCACCACTGCGTAATACAAAGGCAGAAGGAAAAAGTCTCCAAGAAGAGGATTAAGTATGAGATGTATTTCCCAATAATTTTTTTTTTTGGTGCTTTTTGTCTTGAATACACTGGCAAATCCATTGTTCTTGCATAGGACATTTAGGCACTTCTGTCACAGAGCACTGAACCCCCCACATAAAGGCTCTATTCAGAGCCAAGCAGCCCCTCACTGGAAGGGGATGAGGTGACCACAATTTCGGGCCATTTAATTCCTGAAAGAGAGCCTCTACGCTGGGATCCAATGTCCTTTAATTTAGGCACATTAGCCTCCTACCATTTCTGCATTCATCTCAACTTCCCTGTAAATTCCCCTGGAGAAGGGCCCTTAATGAAGAAATCATCTGCCTTTGGGCTATGCAAATGGCTTACATTTACATCACTTTTTGGCAACACCGGCATGTCAGACATAGCACGCTGTATTTTCCCAAAATGGAGAAAATGTGCTACGACAGGCACCGACGCTGAAAGAGAGCTTTTAGGAGGTTGCTAATGGTGTATTTTTCCTGTCAGAACATGTTGTGTTTTATTTTTGAAGAAAATAATCAAACAACTTTGCACTAAAAATAAAAAAGACAGTTCTGCAATGAAAACAAAGTAAAAAATTAGTTTTCCTGTTTATCTAAAACGTTACCACAGAAAGCCTTATTGTGTGGTTAAATGACATAATTACGCATGATTTCCAAAAAACCACAAAATGGTCAGCATTTTTTCTGCCTGAAAAATACCCACAGAATTTTAGTAAGAATGTCACACTACCAAGACATTTTTACATCCAGACTGTTTAAATTAATGGTACGGCACAATACATATGCACAAAATAGAGAAGAAATAAATTGCTTTTACACCACTTAAAGTATCTGA